TTTTTAAATATATTGCAAATAGTAACTGTTGGGTTTGGTGAAAACAGTTTTCACTTTTCTTTTTATTGGGTTTCATTTTTTAATATAAATTAATGCCATTGAAAAGTAGATTTTTTTGGGCTGGAGAGATGGCTCAGTGGTCTAAAGCACCTACTTGGAACAAGCTTGGCAAAGTACAGGGACCACGGTTCGATCCCCCAGCACCACATGCCAGCCAGCTGTGCCCCCTGGTGGGCTGAGCTGGCCACACACACACACACACACACACACACACACACACACACACTAAATAAATGTTAAAAAAAATTAGAAAAGTAGATTTTTTGACTATAACTACAACTTAACATATGATGGTGATCTTTTGCAGGTATATTCTTTACTGATAAAAAGAAATGTAAAATTTTATGATTGATCACCTTTCAGCATCACTTTATGCTTAGTGTTCTCTAAGCTTTAGAGATATCTGAGTGACATCAGGCAAGTAGACATAGCCAAGAACAACAGAGGAAGAAGTAACAGGAAAACTCAAGACCCTCAGCCCTACTTAAATCAGCTTTTTGGGTTTTTTGTATTTTAGGGAAGGGTCTGCACGGTGTTCAGGGTCTCACTACTAAATCAGACTCATAGTGATTCACCTGTTTACAGCCTCCCAAGAGCTGGGATTACAGGCGCCCACCACCACTCCCAGTCTCAATTGCTGTCTCAGCGCACCCCAGAGGCCAGGCCGGCATGGCAGGCTCAGGGATCGAGTCCCAGGCCCTGCGCCTGCTTGCTTAAGTCAGCTTTTATGGGCTTTGAATATTGATGCTTAATTCACAATTAGATTTTAAGAAAGTACTTTGATTGAGAAGAATATTGCTAATGTAAGAAACCTGAATTTTTTCAGTTTAATAGCAAACAATGAAATTCTTGTTTCCAATTTTACTTTGTGTTGCTACTCACTTTCCCAAATAACTTATAAAACAAATATCCTGTTCTTGTTATTTATATATATATAATTTTATTGTGTACTAAGTTTACATGTAATTGTCGCTCCATAATGCTCTATGGCATTAGCTTTTATTAGGCAAAGGATTAACTTTTCAGAATAATTAAGATTTTTAAAAACACAAATGGCATAATGCTAAGTGAAGTAACTCAAGACACAAAAGCTTAACTATTGCAAGGGTTTCTTAATATGGAAAACTCAATATATATAAAGTACATAATAAAAGATAGGTTGTAGAAAAAGAGAAAAGAAAGCATTGAGGGCCTGTGAGATGCATCAGCAGAGCAATTGCCCGCTTAAGCAAGCTCAGGGACTGCGGTTTGATCCCAGCACCGCACGCTGCGCTGGCCCCACCCCTGAGTATGCTGAGCCGGCCACCGAGACCAGGCGTGGTGGTGCACGCCTGTAATCCCAGCCCTGGCGAGGCTGAAAACAGGAGGATCACTATGAGCCTGAGCTGCATAGTAAGATCCTGTACCAAATACATTAAAAGAAGGAAAGAAAGAAGAAGGAAGGAAGGAAGGAAGGAAGGAAGGAAGGAAGGAAGGAAGGAAGGAGAAAGACAGAAAGAAAGAAAGAAAGAAGAAGAAAGAAAGAAAGAAAGAAAGAAAGAAAGAAAGAAAGAAAGAAAGAAAGAAAGAAAGAAAAGAAAAAAAAAGAAAGAAAGAAAATGTTGTAATCCAGCATGGGCCACGTGTCTACAAGTGCACATTGACTTAGTGTAACTGTCTTACATGTTGTGTGTGCTCTTTAACCTGTTACTCTGGTTTTCAATCTGTACATAATAATTAATATTATAAGGTCTTATATGATAAATAAATGAGTCTGATGCTGGACAAAAGGGGAGAGGTATGGAACAGGAAAAAAGAAAGGAATTGAATGTGCTATGTGCATTTCTCTGTTCTCTACAGTAAATGTAATCCTATTCTGCAAATATGAATTAAGAACACATAATGGGCAGGAGAGGCAGGAAACCACCTGACAGGCCCTGCACTTTCACAGCATCCCTCTGACTGCCGGCATAGAGGATGGGAGAGGCCTGGTGCTAAAGCCCAAACCTTGCTTTTAGCAGGATGCTCACGAAGACATTCTTGTCCAAATCCCAATAACTGCCATGGGTGCTGTTGAGTTTTGGCAAAATGTAGCTTCTGGGTTTTCTCTTTTTAAGTTATCTGCCCTTTTAATTTTTTAATTATTTATTTTATTCATTCATTTTTTACTTGATATGGGGTCCGCTACGCAGTTCAGACTTGTAGTGATCCTCCTGTCTCAGCCTCCCCAGGGCTAGGATTACAGGGGTGCACCACCATGCCTGGTTTTGGTGCACCTGGGGTTTTGGGGCCGCACAGAATGTGCTACCAGGGATCGAACCAGGGTCCTTGAGCTTGCCAGGCAGGAGCTCAGACTGCGGAGCTACCTCCCCAGTCCTATCTGCCCTTTAATAAACATTAACATCCACAAATAAGATAAAATATAGATCACCAAAAGTTCCATGGAAGTAAGAATAGAGAAGAAGAGAGCCTACTGATGTACACCAGCCAGACATGAGGGGTGTGCTCAAGTCATGGGAAAGGCAGAAATGTAGCTGAGCCTAAGAAGCCTCGGAAACTGAGGAACCCAGCAGCCTAAAGCCTGGGAACTCTTTCCTTCCAATCCCCCGCTTTCTGTGTGCAGGCTGCATCCCGGCTTCCACATTTGGCAAGTGAGCCACCTCACGCTCAGTTCCAGCCCCATGAATGCTGGGTAATGGTTCTGAGTGTGCTTGCTAGGGCAGCTCCCCACTTGCCATGAGAGGGACCAGGAAGGAAGAGGAGGGGTAAGGACTGGGCGTAGATGTACTGAGACAAATCCCACATCTAACTGAGGTAGCTTCTTGACTACTCCAACAACAGTCTCAGTGTTTCATGGAATATCATTTCTATAATTTCCAAGAAACCGGAGTTGCTCCTTTCTTACACCTGCATAGGACCTAGGTTTCCTTGGGCCAAGAGTCTGTGATGACTCATGAATAGTCTGCGATGACTCTGCAAGTGACTAAGCGAAAAAAGGGTAAAGACATTTTTTCTTTTTAATAAAACTGCCTAAAAGTGACATTCATTATTTTTTCTTAAAATAGAGTTACAGAAGCATCACTTACTGACAAGTCCAGGATGCAGCATTGTCTGTCCTTTGTATCAGACATGAGCACTGGGTATCTTTTACACACATTATAGAGTCTTCTATAGAGAAATTATTCTTTCATAGGTAATCTACCAACTTTTATTGAGCAGCTAGAAGCCAAGACTTCTTTTTTTAGATTAAAATCTTGCAGAGTTTTCCAGATTCTATTTTTATATTTATCTCCTCAAACTACTCCATGACCTAGGATACAACTGATAGCAAACAGGACTTATTGGTGATTATGTTTATTTTTGTATCATTTTAGTCTAATTTATAGTGAGTTGGCATTGATTTATATGATTGGACCATATGGTTTTATCAAGCAATATTGTGTTCCTTTTAATACATATTATCTAATCACAAAAGCATTAAATATACCATCATGCCAGCTATTACCTAGATATTGTCTTTTTTATTGTGGGTACTTTTAGTAGCTTATTTCCAAATTGTATAATTCAAATATCTTCATCTTAGTTTAAGATCGCTTAAAAAGAAAATAAACACAAAAATAAAAGTTATCCTTAATCCTAATGTTCAGGTTAATAAACTGTTGTGGTTATTTTGATCTGTATTGTGACTTCAGTTGTATCTCTCACACATATATGTAACTTACCATTAAGCATATGTTTTAAATAATTTCACTTTATTAAATAACATATGCAGGAATTTCTTTAACACAAACAATAAACATGTAAATAATACCTGGGATAGAATTTAATCAGTGCAATATTAGAAGGGTTAACCTTTTAACGTTTTGAATATTTAAAGCTTGCTGAATAAATATAAAAATGCCTTAAAGAATCTGGTGGAGGGCCAGCCAGATCACTCAGCAGATAAAGCACCTGCTTAGGTAGACACAGGAACCAGGTTCAACTTCCAGCTTGCAGTGCTGGCCCCATTCCCAGGCTCGCTGAGAAATAACTGAGATTGAGTGTGATGGCACGCGCCTGTAATCCCAGCACTTGGGAGGCTGAAAACAAGAGTATCACTACCAGTCCAATCTGTAGTGACAACCTGCAGACACTATAGCCCCTGCCTTAAATCCATGCAAAAACAAACCTGATGGACCTTGAGATCGAGCTTGACTTCATGATGCAACTCGTGAATAGTGTAAGGGAACACACCAAGGTCGTTTGTCAGACTAAGTTTCAGATTGTGAAAACCAAGGAATTTTCAGAAGTAGAAGATGGCAGTCACCAGTGTTGTCTCCTGTCACAGGCACTTGCTTATGTCATTAGAGATAATGTAACCAATCATAATGCTGGAACTTTTTCCTAACTCATAATTATTAAAAACACACCTGGCAAAAATCTGCTAAGATTAAACTACAATCTCAAGGCATATAAAGATTTTACAAATATCCTGAAGCTCCTGGGAGTGTTCTGAGATTATGGAACATTTAGAAACATCTTTATCATTAATGTTTGTCAGGTAACTTAATATCCTTGAATAATTAATGATGCAGCACAGATAATCAGAATTGTTATAAGACCAATAGAAAACACCATCTAGGGGCTGGAGAGATAGCTCAGTAGAATAAACGCCTGCCTGGCAAGCACAAGGTCCTGAGTTCAACCCCCAGTACCGAAAACACCATGTGACAACTGAGTGCACTATATACACAGACACTGCACAATTTATTATATACTCTCCACAAACTACAAAACATCCCAACAAAGGGGTATCATTTTCCTTTTTTCTGGGTAAAAATCTGAGGAGGAAGACACCCAAGGTCTTCAAGTTCTTACAGCAGAGCTGGCGTTCAAACCCAAGTGTCCAGCTCCGGAGAACTAGCCGAAGGTGATGATGATAGAGACTACAGTAGAAACACTGAGATTTCCTTCTTTTCCAGATCTAGGCTTCTTTCAAAGCTACATTGAGCCCTACTTGGAGCAAGCACGTCGGATCTGGCCGTGGCTGGTGGGAGCAGCACTGGTTGGAGCTGCCCTGGCTGCCGCCCTGGTGGGGTTTACCAGGCTGCTGTGCCGGCGCAAGAGAAAGCAGGTCCCCGAGGAAAAGCAGCCGCTCCTCTTGGGAAAGGAAGACTACAGCAGCTTATTGCATCAAAGCCGTTTGTAAAAGGCGCAAGCAATAGAGTGGGCCCAGGGCGTGTGTCCTCACCTAAGTCAAGGTGCTGCGCAGGTGCCCAGGAGCTGCGCCCGGCAGGAACCCCTGGCTGCCAGGGCAGACCATGCTTAGCATGGTAATCTAATACGTAATGTACCCCACATGCCCAGTTTACGCACAGCTGTTCGTCTCATTGCTTTTGCTCAGTCATTTGTATAGTTCTCCCTACGCTCCTGCTTTCAAGGAAAGGATACTGTTTAGTATTCAAACACAGTAAATGCTCCTTGTATCAGAATAAAATGCTCCTCCACAAAATTGGAATATTAGTGACATTTTCTTCCTGGTTATTTAAGTGTTTCTTTTTACTTTCACTTTTGACTTCTGAAAATGGTAACAGATTTACACTGTCTTGCTTGTCACTGAGAAATACGTCTTATTTGTCTCAGAAAGTGGAATTTTTTTCTGTATTTTATCTTCCCCCTCCACAGGGTGTGTGAACTTCAAATAGAAAACAAGCCTTGTTATTCTCCTGTCATAGACCTGACTGTAACCTTAAGGTCCCTGGGATCAGGCACTAGAATGAATCTAGCTAAATGCCTCTCCTGGAAGTTGTCCATTTAATGTCTTAAGATTGATAATTATAAGAATAATCGATGGGTAATTTACCTTTTAAGAAGAATTTTATTTTATTGGAAAAAGCTTAAAATGGTACAAAACAATTGAAGTTTGAGAACTATTATCTGAATATCATCCTGTGTGAAATTCTAGCAAGAACTCATTATCATTTTCATTGGCAGTTTAAAATCTCAGATTAAGACATCTAGAAAATCTTACTACTTGATGGTTTGTGCTCTGTTGAATTTCTTAAAAATTTAATGAATGTTATACTTGTGTGTCCTGTAAAAGATCAAGACCACTGGTTGGAAGTTACAGAATATGACTCAGTAAAAGGAAAACCTGTCCAAAAGTCAGGTTTTCAAAACCAAATGGACATTCTGGGAAAACAGTAAGCAGCTGCCATTGGAATTCTTCACATGCTGTCTAGGGTAACTAATGGGGCTTGCATTCTACCGAGAAAAATCATACCTGGTGTTAAGAGTAATGCCTATCTAGATTGGCTTAAGGTGTTGATCAGCTCTCCTCCTACTCAAAAGCCAGATGAAGCATTTTCATCCACAGTTCCCATTATTCTGCCACAGTATCTGCGGGAGTTTCATGACTGTCCCTTCCACTTTCCCAAACAAATTCCTGTTCACTTGCCCCAGTTTGCTGACCTCATTCTCTCCAGACCCCTGGCAGCTCCTCTGTCTTGTCTGGTCAGCATGCCCACCTACGTACCAAACTCTGACTGCTTTCCTTGTCCCTCACTTCACCTCTGGACCCTTCTGTCTGTCTGTCCCTGCAGATTATGCTGTAAAGACAGAGCTGACTAATCCAGGTTTCCAGAACCCTCCAAGGTCTGGCACCAGAAGCTCTCCAACTCTAGAAGACTCTTTGTGGTACTTTTCCATCACAGTATTCCATAATTCTCATTGGTTCTGAAGCATGACTTTCCAAAAATTTATAAATGTATTTAAAAATTGATTTCCCACAGTGGCTGAGTTCTTTCAAGCATCTTTATCTAGAGAAGACTGACCTAAGGTAAACCATACAGTTCCCAGATGATTACATGTCACTCCCTCCTATCTTAAACTTCAAAGAGCAAAAATCACTCTAGGGTACATATTGGTTTAGTGATTTTGGTTGTTTTAAAAATTTTAAGTAAACAGAAATTTCCACTTATTTCTGAAGTTACCTCACTCGTGATCAGAAATTACTAGTAGTTATTAAACTCAGTGACAGAGCAATAGTCACCCTCCAGTTCTCACTGGTTACCATGTTGCAGCCAGCTCTTTTCTGATGTGCAAAGGAAGGCAAGAGCCGCTGAGGATGGGAGCTGCCCCTGCACCCCACAGCAGGGCTCTGCGGGAGCACAGGACCGCATTCTGCTTGGTGCCCGACCGCACCGAGAAGAGTCAATCACAAGATTGGCAGTGCATTTGAGACCTTAGTAAGTAGGTTGAGTCCGGAACTACTGAACTGAGAACAAATAGCACTGAGAAAATTCTTCTGGATGGCGACCCGCCGCAGACCGTGACGGAGGACTGCAGCCACTGGGCGCCTTTCGCCCTCCGCACACCTTGGGGTGAGCACCCTGCCCTGGGGAGGCCAGCGCGGGCCTCTCAGGTCCGCTGTGCGGGCGCATTCGCCGCGGTTTGATTTGAAGGTAAGACTTTCATCAAGAAACATACTTTAAAATCATTCTATGAGGAATTCTAAGTTAAAAATTTGATGTTGATTAAGATTTGTATAAACTCATTCTTTCTGGTTTTTTAATCACAAGGTAGTTTCTTTCTCACCATATAAATACTGTTCCTCTGGAGGCTCAAGATTCCTGTTTAGGTAGCAGAAATGTCTATGATAAAAATGACATCACTTTGGCTCTGCAGTTTACTCAGTGAAGTACCAAAATTGCACGACTGATATTTCAAAACATCCCAGTTTTGTTAAACTTAATCAACATTATCTTCGGTGGCATTTAAAACGTGTGGCTTTTACAAATTGCTTCATTCTCTAAACTGATATTTTTCTTTCTGCTTTTTTCATTTATGTATTTGGTACAAGGTCTCACTACACAGGTCGGACGCATAGTGATCCTACCTTTTCAGCCTCCCCAGCGCTGGGATTACAGGCGTGCGCCACCACACCCAGTCTCAGTCACTGTCTCAGTGCACCCCAGGGGGAGGACGGCACGGCATGCAGGACTGGGGATTGAACCCTGGTCCCTGCTCTTGCCAAAACAGGCACCTAGTCCACTGAGCTACCTCACCAGCCCCTACACTGATATTTTTCTATTGTTATACTGTAAGTCATATTTTGACACACAGAGAAATAAGCAGTTTCTGTAATTTTGTAAAAAAAGAAAAAAAAAAGAAAAAGAAAAGATTGTAAGTAGTCAAGTCAAATGATATATAATTCTTTCCAGCAAGTCAAATACATAATTCTGCATCCATACAATAAAAAAAACTGATGGGTACAAGTCATTCCATAGTGTCTCCAACAGGCTCACAGCTAGCATTGGGGGGGGGGGGGGTATTCTTAAATAGCCTTTCTGCTGTGTGTGAGAGCAGTCCTTTATGGGAACAGTTCTCTTTGTCCCTATAAAAACAGCCTCATTTAGCCACTTATTGTGGCCTGTGCTATTTTGCAGGCCATGTCAAAGGAATAAAGTTGCACTCCCCCACTGATTAGACTCCTTCTGAACAGTATGAAAATGCAAATATGAGACCTTTTTATAAGCCTTGCATTGCTTATTTTCAAAACAATTTGCCAGTCTGTGTAGTGTAATGAAAACTAAAATTGGCCATAGAAATCACTCAGATTTCAAGTTGTTCAGCTACTTAAAACTATGCAAGAACAATGTATTTTAACAGCTTTAATAAAATTACATACAGTTCATATTTATTATTTTTAAGCTCTTTTGGGCTGAGGAGATAGCTCAGTGGCTTAAGCACTTGCCTGGCCCTAAGTTTGATCCCCAGTCCTCCCAAAGAGTAAAACAAAAAAAAAAAAGAGAAATTTAAAAAAAAATTCTTTTCTTAATAATGTAAGAAGTTATTCTTGTGACTTCATACTCATCTACCAGTCCTCAGTATGATCATGAGCCATACTCTCATAATTTCTAATTACAATTCAGTTAGATAATTAGACAAGAGTGACAATATTCTAAGAAATGTGTTAAGTATTTTTCATAGGCGATACCTTGCCCAAGTCTATGTAAACATTTTCTGAACAAATGTGCCATGGTGTAGGTACTTTTTTTTTTT